TTTAAATTCTTTCTCTGCAGTTAGAGAAACCACCACAATAGGTGTATTGATAATAAATGAATCAAATTGAAGAGCCCTCTAGTATCCACCTTTAGCAGCTGAATTGATCTGGATGAACTAGTTGTAGGAAAACTGATTATAAACATGCTACTAAAAATTTGTAGATTATCTTTAAATCTACATTTAAAGGGGGTGACCTTTTATAGTATTATGACTATTTATCAGACTATATTTTAGAGTTGTTACCAGTAACAGATTTTATTAGATGACACCTTCCTTCAAGGATATTTACATTAAAAAATTACTGAACTACTAAAGCTAGCAAAGAAAAGGTTATGTGGTGTAGTGTTTTGTAACAATATGTTTGTATTGCAGCCTAATGCAATACATGTGGGTAGCTGCATCAGCATGCGTAGGCTGAAAATGACCAAGTAATACTGTAGGTTTATTCCATGTATTATTCCAATATACATTAAACAAAACAGCACAAGCAAACACAATGAACTCAGGATGGACTGTAGAATTTTCAGTTGGGTTTTAAAGAGGTGGTTGGTGACAGTGAGGTTCTGATGAGCCCAAGAAACTGGTTCCATCAGTATGGTGTGGAGATGAAGAGTAAGTGGGAATGAGAATTAAGGTAGTGAAGAGATATGATATAGAAGATACAGTAGAAACTAAGCAAGGTGGAGCATTTTGAGTGCAGTGGAAAGAGAAAAGTTCCTGATATACATTATGAAGGCAAATATTGCTGTTCAAACTGTAGCTCGCGGAACATACAAACCTGTTGTTCTTCATTCCAGATGTGCTCATCATTACATAATTAAATCCTTAATGCGATAACTGAAAAGCAGGAACTTCTTGATCATTTTCTGTTCCAAATCATGTTGGAGGCGATTTCCATCTCTGAAATACAAAAGAAACCTTGCAAAGGTTCCAATCAAGCTAATATAATTATAAAATCACTTAAGGACAGTTAAGTAAAGAGCTCAGATAAAATGAAGATCAGCAGGCGTGTGCGTCCCCATGAGTGGAGCTAGGATAAATATGTATCCCTCATAAATGATTAAATATTCTATTCTAAAAACAATCACATTGTTTCAATCCATAATATATGATCCCAAATTATACTTTTTAATTTACTGCAATATTTAATAAACCAGCCATTAAAAAACAGTTGTATTTTATTTTCATGTGAAATTAATAAGTGCTGTCTAGCTCATAGAACTAACGTACTGCATGCATATGTAATATTTGTGCTAGTAGAGGACATGTGTGTATGCTACAATCAAAAGATACACATATGCAACTAAGAGGCGTGGATATTTAAGAACACATGCAGGTCACATAGTCTGCTCCTGATCGTCAGGCAAATATACCATGTCCCAGTTCTGATAGCTGCCAAAAAGCTCGGGTGTGAGCAGAAATATCAGTGAATCCAATATAGGTTGCTGGAACATTTTGGAAGCTCATCATCCCATAGTTTATCTACTGATTGGATTTTCACAAAATTATTCATCCACAACTGACATCATATAATACTCTGATCCCACTTATGTAATTATTTTCAACTGGCCCAGTTGTTCAGTTTCACTTAAAACATTAGCAGGCTTAAGTATAATAGAGAAGCGTAGCGGCAGAACTTTATGAGGAGATGAGCAGATGAGGGTGAACTGTTGTGTCCTTTGACAAAATTTGTTTCTGTGTGGAAAATATAGATGGCAATTGGAGGGAATAGAGAGGAGCCTGTGCTGTAGAAAGACACAGCTGGATAGGATCTACCATTTATGTTGTGGGGTGAGCTCCCATGAACACAATGAGGAGAGCCAGTTGTCTTTCAAAGTGATGGACAAAGATATGTCAGAGGTGAGGACCTCTTTGATTAAATTCTCTGCACTGCTAGTCGTGTAGTTACTATGTAGTCATGTTTTCTTGCTTGCCTGCATGATAATACCAGAGCTGAAACGTGGAGCTGAAGGACGAAGGCTCCTCGGCCGAAACGTTGTGTTTTCTTTCTTCTCTTTTCAGCATGGAATAAACATATTAGTTGTTCATATTATACTTTGTTGTTCCAGAATTAAAATCTCATCAAATGAGTATTGGATGAGTAACGACTTGTTGTGTATTAATGCCTCTCAGAGCATATATACAGTATATACTACATATGGGTGGGTAGCTTCGTCAGCATGCGTAGGCTGCAAAGGAACAAGTAATAGGTTTATTCCATGCTGAAAAAAAGAAGAAAGAGAACACAACGTTTCGGCCGTGGAGCCTTCTTCAGGTGTGCAAGTACACACCTGAAGAAGGTGGGAAGGTGGTTCAGGTGGGCAGTAATATATACTACATATTACTGCCAAAAATATACATAAAGGAGTTTTGTGGGAGTCGTGTGTTTCTTTGGCACCCTATTGCCACGATTGAATGATGTTAAGGTTAATAACTGAATCTGAAGATCAAAAACTTTTAAAGTTTTTTTTCCTGATTAGAAATGCACTGCACGTTACGAAACCTCTCCCATGTTGGGCTCATAAAGCTATTAAAAGGCACAAATAATGACATATGTCTCTGCAAGAAAACAAATTGGACAACAAAGTAAGGTAGGCTGCTTATCAGTATGTGCAATGCACAACGTGTATTCTTAAAAGCTTTTGTTTCCATTCATTTTATAGGTAATTCCCTAGGTTATGTCTTCAAACTGCTCACCGATGAAGAAAATAAATGGAAGGTACTTTCAACTATGCCTAAAAGCAACACTGGAAGGGGAAAACCAGTGCAAACCAAAAATATAATGTAAAGTATACCAAACTGAAGCTCAGAACATATTATATTGTTGTACAATAACTGTATGCTGCAAAACATCTTTATAACACCATATTTCCATTCTCAGAAGTCAGTCTTCTCAGTGTCGCCTCTTGAACCACCAAAGATGCCTTTCTTCCATACACAAAGGAGAGTTACCTGTACTGATGTATTCTGATGGATGATGCCCACTGCAGCAACTGTAGACACGCTAAAACATTAATGTGTACACCATTTGCACTGGAACCAAACAGCACAAAACCTAATAATCATAAATCAACAGGCAGAAATATTCAGATGCAGATGTACTTTGGAGATGCAGATGTTTTGAAAAGCATGACTATCATGCAATTTGGAAGTGCAATTTGGTATTGTTTATGTCTGATTTTTGTTTGACGTTGGATTTCTATTTTGAGTATTATTATGACAGAAAAGGATGAAGACAGAAATATAATCATCTAGTTTATCACCACTGAATTCATTTAAGCTGCAATTCTAGATCCAAATGTTACTCAAAATTTACTTAATGTCTGTTGCAAAACTCGTTTATCTACTTAAAATGGGTATGTTGTGATGATTTCTATTTACATTGCATAAGAACTTTATTTTTGAAAAAACTACCTGTTTATTTGAGAGTGAGATAAATACAAAAACAACTCTATATAAGAGGGAATTCAGAAAAACACCTGGTGTAACTGATATTGCCTGGTCATGACTCACTCTTTTGGGAATCCACCCACAGTCTCTGGGAAAATCCAATAGGTATCCTATAGATGATTAAGGCGAAAATACAATAGTAGTGACGTATTAATTCCAGCTTCTCACTCACTCTATCTGAAGAACTGTACTGACTTTTGATCTGTCTGAGAGAGAAAGGTATGCGGGCGAGTGATTTCTTGCAAGTTAGTAATTGTCTTCTATATTCTGTGAAATTTAAACATGAACATTTACACTTGAATGTTATCTACCAATGCATTAATCCCTCCTTTTTGGTAAGGTTTATATTTCAATTGTTTCAGTAGGAAGAACTATCTGTGAACCCGTATCAATTTGCTGAAGCTTTTGTGGTAAGGGTTAAAGTGTGTTACAATTGCTTTGCTTTATCAGTTCAAATGGAACTCAAAAACTATACTTCAGGACCGCAAAAGCAAATACTGGCTGGTGTGTGAGTGACCTACAGACCTGAAGGATTCCAATTGACATGAGCAAGATAAAGCTTTTCCAAAAGTCAGTAGTTTGATTTCTTTAGTTTAATTGATTTAGACATGTAAAATAATTAACCTAAGCCTGCTCAGATAATTTATAGCAGTTGAAAGAATGTCTACCGAGAACAGAGGTGAAGATAACAGCAAAGGTTACTTTGGCCGGGAATACGTGTTCAGCAGTATATTTATCACCAGCATTTTTGAAAATTATAAAACAATAGTTATGCCAACAAAGCAGTTCATGACATATCTGGATATTTTGACAGCTCTTAATAAGACATGAATAACATATACAGTATTGCACACAGGAAGGATACCTCTCTGTTTCAATATCTTTTGATATAATTAATAATAATAATAATAATAACAATAATAATAATAATAATAATTGCTTACACTTATATAGCGCTTTTCTGGACACTCCACTCAAAGCGCTTTACAGGTAATAGGGTCTCCCCTCCACCACCACCAGTGTGCAGCCCCACCTGGATGATGCGACGGCACCATCCCTCCCTTGTTTTTTGTCTGTCAGGGCTGGCATCATATTTGTTGACCTGAAGGAAGTGCACACTTTTTATTCTGTGCCCATAAACTAAACTTCCTGAATATTGTGAGTATTACTTAGGGACAACCCTGTTTCTCAATAAACATAGACTGAATTATACAGTTGAGGTAGCAGGCATGGTTGCATAGCACTTTAAAACAGCCTATATAGATCAAACCTGCAGGAACCAATGGCAAATTTCAACCTCTAAACAATTTATCATAACTGCTTATTTACACACCTGATCTAATAATCTGTCTTTTTAATGTTTAACTCCCTATTTAAAGTACATCTCAGAAGATTAGGAAAGAAAGTATATATTTAACTTGTAGTCTATTTATTATTCACACAAATCGAAATAACTTTATGAAGTAAGTTTAAAATGTGTGCATGCATTTGCTTAATCGTCATCACATCTTGACATTTGTACTGCATGTAAAATCCATTACATGATGAAATTTAACTAATATCATTTAATGCCTGAAATTAACATAAATAAGGTTCCGGGTTACAGAAAACAGTTCGAGACACATCTCAGCTTTTAAAAACAAAAATGAAACAACATGTAAATATACAAACAAATAACATTTGCAGTTTTGTTGTAAGAATGTTACACATAGGCTTGAATTGAGATTTGAATGACTGACTAAGAATTATACTGAAAAATCACAGTGTGACTTAGGAGAAGGGAATGGATAAAATCTTATCAAGGTAATGCCAAGCCAATTTCACTGAAATTCAGAGCTGTTATGTGACACAGAATTATTTTAGGGGTTGCCTTTTTCAAGTACACACTAAACTAAATGATTTTACATTGAAACAATTTCCTATACAGTTTTCAAAATACAGATATACTGCACAGTGGCTAATTATGTTTTATTGCAGTACTAAATCGCATCTCAAAAGCCACTCTAAGAACAAAGTCTTTCATTGGATGATGGGTGGTTAGAATGTATATTGTTCAACTAGTAGGGTTAGCCAAAACACTGTATTTTGATATATTTCTTAAGAAGAGAGAAATATTAACTTAAGTAAGGGTGCCCTGTCTTTTTATTTGCATTTTTTATTGTAAAAGAGATTGTAGTGCAAATGCGTTTGTGTAGTTTGAACCAGGAATGTGTGCTCCCAGTACACAAACTGGTCTGTGGCAATGCAGTGATGGTTACATACAAAACAGTTTGTGAACCGACAGCTTTCACAGGTGACTGTCTGCAAGCTGTGATTAGCTTTTACTCTTTAAAGTAGCACCTACAACAGCAAATGAAAGGTCTGGGAGATTTGAGATCTTCAAAGAGAATAACGTGTGACTGAAGATCAATATAGTACCTATGTGTTACATTTCGAGTTTGTTTGATGTCTGAACAGGTTCACATGAAGCAGGTTCTGGACTGAAAGTATTCCATTGACCTCTTAAGATAAAAAAGCATCTATCATAAAAATGTATTAAAAAAATGAAAGCAAGTATCATTTGTTTTAGATGAATAGGGGGGGGTAAGCCGATGTTTCTTGGAAAGCAGTCAAAATGAACAAAGTCAGAATTAAGTAACAAGGTAAATAAAAACCCTGCAGCATGAATAAGCTACCTGTAAATCCAGAAAGACAAACTGTAGTAAATTTGGTCTAAAAGTCACCTAAATGCCATTATGCAGCTTATAGATTTAAGTTAAGCAACATTTGATGATTTTCTATGTTTTTGTAGATATGCAATGCAATACAGTGACTCTATATAAGGTAAAAATGTCATTAACCATGTATCAGTGTCTGCTCTATAGGGCCAATCTGGTACAATGAAGCAAACATCCAGAGATCACAGCAAATTTGGATGATTGTTTTTTAAAAAAGAAGTAGTCAGACATAAGATTACAATTTATTGAAGCCACTGGGGATTTATGTACCTAAATATCTTGATTTCCAGGCCCTTCTGTACATGTTTACTTCAGGTGGTTACATTTTGTTTAACCTAACGCATTATATAACAAATGGCTGAGAAGAGACCCTTTTGTTTATCCCTTTTCTTATTTTCTATAGTGATTATTAAAAAACTGCTTTCTGGGGTAGTTGCTCACACTACTTTTTTAGTAAATCAATACAAAAATATTACTTGGATATAATATTACTAGATTATAAGTTGTATAGAGATATAATAAAGCGATAGGTACAGGCCTTTAAAAACACTGAACGTTCTTCCTCTTTAGTAGGTATATGTCTTATACCTTGAGTATTGTCATAAACCTGTGGCACTTAGAACATTAGAACAACTCATGGTTCCTCTGTTCCTTTAAGGGATTCACTTGCTCCTAGTTAAATAATAGTAATGTAATCAATACAAGTGGGAGCCAAAGGTTTTAAAGACCAGGAGTGGGCCAAAGATTATTCTTATACTTCACGAAGAGAATATCAAGCAACCTATTGAAAAAATAAACATGAATATTGGTACCAACAGTATTTTTTCTTCACAATATAAATATGGTTTATTGTGAATATTATATATATACACACATGAAGTTTCAAGCACACTTTTGCTCGGAACAGGGTGTTGGAAATAAGATTGTTGCTCCTGTTGAGGCTGACTTACTCTTAACGCCTCATAGTAAATTAAACCTTTTGAGAAACACTGCTGGAATGTAGCAGCTCATACAAACTGGTTAATTATGCTTTAGTTGTGTTGTATTTGCATTCCACTTTCAGATCCTATATAATTGTAAATGCCAGCATTACAATCCATTACCCTGCTCATTTGCAAAAGAATGCATAGGTGCTAACTGTTGCAATGGCAAAGCATTTCTAATTAACAAGGTCCAATTTCACAGTGAGCAAATTGTGTCTCACATTATACTTCTACTTTGGTGGCCAATCAAAAGAAAAGCACACATTTTAAAGTTTTTTTTTCTGTATTTTATTATTATTTGAAATGTCTGTAGAAAAAAACAGCATTCACTCCCTCTGTTCACACTGTCAAGACTCTGCAATCATCAACTCACCCATACATGGTACATTCAATATATAAAAATATATATGAAAACGTATTTGGAAAGAAAACCGTTAAGAAAACACTGTAGAAATGCCAAACCCAAGCAAGGCACTTGATGGAGTATTGCTATTTTGAGTGCTGTAAAACAGTTATTGCATTATTTTTGTGCAACAGAAGATAAAATACTTTCACTCTTTGAAAGACAACGATTTTGTACTTCTTCCCTATACAGCAAACATATGAGAAATTCCATTACCTGGATATTATTTTTTTTCTTTTAAGCACCTGGAATGTTTGTATGTGCAATACTTTAAAAGGTGCAAAAAAAGACAGAAATGTCATAAACATGATGCATGTTAACCATCTCTGTTCAAAATCCTATGACAGATGCTGATCGAAACATTACAAACACGAGAAGGGTTATACCATGAGATCACCCCTGAAGGCACACTTGCAGTACAACCAATTAGGCACTTTGTGGAAAAGAAAGTAAAGCACTTTTTTTCCTCAGGGAAAAGTACAATCAAAAATACTGCTTCACGATGAAATGTATGAAATGAAACTGATAGGCTCAGTTTTATAATGAAATGCGTTTTGTTTTCATAAATTCTGCATAAAAAAAAGGATTCTTATTTCCTCCATTGGAGTAGTACGAGTCTCAGTTGGCATCCTAGCTCAGTGTGCTACACAACAACCAGATTCCTCATGCTTGTGCAGAAGAGACATTCTGGAGAAGGTTTTGGAACAGTTTTTGCATTGGTATTTTTTCACATCAGAATGGGTTTGTAGATGAGCCCTGAGGTTTGATCTGTCTGCAAATGCTCTGCTGCAGTGTGGGCAGGAAAAGGGCTTCTCTCCTGCAAAACAAATGAAAACAATTTTGATATTTACACATAAGAAATAGGATCAATAGAACCACTTTTCCCCCCCCTGATTTTAACAAGACAATGAAACAGTTATATTGCATTTAAGAAAGAGGAGCCATCTAAGAAATTCTGGTGGAACGTAAACTGAACAATGTACAAGCATTTTGATACAACTCTGAATGACAAAAGTAAGCAACTTTGATCTCTCTTAACAGGTGCACAGCAGTTTCCTATACACTGGGATTCCCAATCTTTTCAACAAACGCTGTTTTTTCCCTCCATATGAAAGATCTGTATCTGTAACAATAAAACCCTCAAATGCTGTTCTCTTAGTGCAAGTTGAAAGATTATCTCTGAAAAACTAAAGACAGAAATATGTTCCTGTCCTGTTCTGGTTAGGCTACAAAGCATTGATTTTGCTGGGGGTGGGAGCATATGAACCTAACCACATAACCATATACTATATTCCATTTCGTTAACCGTTTCATCCCTGAAACAGCTCAAGGAGGCGGCAGTGCATTCGCTCCTTTAAATGCAAATTCAGTGGGAAATAAGATCCTAAAACTTGATGTAAAATAAGACCAAATGGGTAATAAGAAAAAGTCAACCAAACGTGATATAACACGACCCTGTCTCTTAACTATCACTACTTCTAACTAATCTTAAACCCCTAATTAAACAGTCTTACCCGTGTGCGTTCTGATGTGTCCTTGAAGTAACCAAGGTCTGGAAAAGGCTTTGCCACATATTTTGCAGACACAAGGCAAAGTGTGGGTCCTGATGTGCATCTTAAGCGCTCCAAGACTGACGTACTCCTTCTCGCAGTATTTGCAACTGAAAGATTTCCTCGTCTGCGCATCACAGTGAAGCTGCTTGTGCTTCAGCAATCCGGAATACGTGGAATAGGATTTGCTGCACAAACTGCACTGAAACTTCTCGGCTTCCACGGCGTGCGGATCCGAGATCTTAGTGTGCATTCTCTCATCTTCATCGCTAATGGGACTTTCAGAACCACTGTGGTCTTTGGAAGAAGTGTCAGATGGCGGTGGTGGACTAACCCGTCCAATGGACGAGGGATATCCGGAGATAGGCGAGAGATCACTGGGCAAAGGAGTTAATGGCAGGCTGCTCGTAGTCCATACTGTGATTGGGTTGTAGGCTACCGAACTGAGGATCTCTGGCTGTGGGATGACAGGCACAGGGTATCCTTTGTAAAGATACGGTGAAATTAAGACTGAAAAAAAGTAAGAAAGAAAAACGTTAGGCTCCTTTTTGTAGGTATAGATTCCTGTTATTTATTTTTAACTAAGCTCAATGTGTTATCGGGTTAGAACGTCGATACAAAACACTGTGTAACTTTCATAGTTGACTTAAAGTTAAAAATAATTTCCGAGAAATGTTTTACCCTGCCCATACTACGATTAAAGTATTGCATCTTATAACAATTTAACAATCTTTCAGATAAAATGTTTTACAGCAATATATAGTTTGTCTTACACAAATGTTTAGCGGAACACGCATAATTTGGCGGAACTGAATCATTTCAGACATTCAGTAACAATCGTAAGCACACAAGAAAAATCTGTTAGTTCAAAGTAAGGTTATTCACAATTATAAGATTAGTATTACCTGTGTGATTGTCCAGTTCGCTATAATTTGGCTTCTTGGTTGAGTTAAAGTGTTTCTTAACAAGAAACGAACGTGGCATCTTGAAAAAAAAATAAATAGGACAACAATCTTCAAACTACGGAGGAAAAGAGGTTTATAAATATAACGGTCCCAGCCCCTCTGTGAGAGCATAAAATCACTGCAACTTCACAATTTCCTATTGCATAGTCCAAGGGAGTAACATCGTGCTGCTCAATGCTGTAGTGGCAGTACGACAAATCTCAGTTTAGAGCAGTAAATAGTCTCCGTCAGGTGCAGGGGCGGGATTACAGCTGTTAGATTTAAATATTGTCGGCCCATTTAACCCAATAGAAAGTGTTTCTCAGATTTGAGGTTTAGCAGTGGGTGGAGTTAAGACCACCTTCTGGCGAGACAGGTGTTCGCGAAAAAAAGTCTCAAGCAGAGAGAGAAGGGCAGGAAAAATCATTGGGTGGTAGCAATGTTAGGACTTGTCGCAGGAAAGTGCGCTATCCTGCGCATTCCTCTGTAATCTTCGGATTGGATTATTAAAACTGTTGCAAATTACCCTTTTATTGCACATCTGAAAAGGGAGAGGAGCTGAATACCCTTTCAAACTACGCCCAAGAACCTGTCAAAATGCGCGCAAACAAGATATTACTGTCAATGTCAGTTTCGCTGTTTGTGTATTGTACTACTGCGGTAACTAGTACTACTATTATCCTGCTCCGATTACCAGTTGTCATACTTCGTTTATTTAATACCAACTGAGTGCAAGGGAATTGAATTTTTTGATGAAGTGAAATTATGATGAAGTGATGAACACAATTATTTTCTCCCAATCCTGTTCATCATAACTAAAATTCCTATGGCATTCATTATACCCTTTTTTCTGCCACTAAAACTATTTTTTTACCCCAGCTAAAACGTCGATAACATCAAGCTAACAGTATTTATCCATTACAGCCCACAATCGAAATGTCTCCTGTTCTTAGCATTAAACTGAGGTAATGCTGTAATGGTTCATTCTATATCTGGATTTCCTATTTTAACACGCGGAGAAAATAAATTCCAAGGAACATGCTGAGGAGGAAAAAAAGCTCAAAGTAAGTTTTGTTACTATTCAGTGGGTGTCTCCGAACACACGGATTGATCGAGCTTGGTAGAAGTGTCACACACTATGCACCCAAAATATGAGACATATGCAAAGTCATTTAAATCACAAGGTAGACCTATCCTATAACAGGAAAAGAGCTGATTCCATCAATCTA